CGGCGGCGGCCCCGGCTCTGCAGGCGAGCACCGGGCAGGCTGTCCCCGTGTGGTGGACGCCTGGTGCTGTCCGGGATGCTGTTCCCCGAAAAAAAGGGGACATAGCTCAGGGTGGCCTTCGACTTGCAAATACGTAGGACAGGATAGGGACGGGGATGGTTTTGGGAAGAGGATACAGGTGGGAAATAGGGATGGGGGCTCCGGTGTCCCCAGCCACGACACACTTTTCCCTTGAAACCAATTGGTTTTCGCTGTCACGTTTAAATCCTAAAAACGTGGCTAACTTTGGGAGCAGATGCCTTCACTTTTTACGACTCTCTTGAAGTTGTAACATTCCTAATTGACAGCAGATCTCCACTGTGGAAAAGCGCAGTCTATTCCCTGCGTGTCAGTGCTAATAGTTGTTTTGTATCGCATTCCCGGTATTAGGTTGCCCACCGTCTCAAGTTGACATAATGCAAATTAACAAGGGACATCATACAAATCCATCCGAGGATAAAGGTTTTGGAACAACATACCCTTCGTAACTTAAACACCACATATTTGAAACAAATGTACTTAACAAGACAGTTAACCCGAAACTTCAATTCTATCGCCAGTGGGTTGACAAGTCCAAATATTTTTGTTTTTTAACAAATACTTAAATATCAGACGACAGGTTATCTAGGCAACTTTCAGCTACAGCTTTCAGGAATACTCTGAAATAGAATAATATCTCAACAACCTGCTTTAATTATAAAGTATTTTCACATGGGAACTTTTTTCTCTGTCTCCTTATCCCATAGACAATGAGATCATTTACTGCCCTTTATTTCGATGTTTAAGTATTTATTTCGGAATGATGGGTTTGTAACTAGAAGTGTATGTTTTTTATTTTGTTTACTTAAAGGCAGCACGTGCAGGTATCATTGCTGTTGTTGTGTTTACCGTCTCAACTAATCTGCTACTTCTTTGCAGAGAATTGCGATTTTTGTTTTATTAATGCACTCACCCCTGGCTATACCAAGATTCTTCCTATAGGAAAAGAGAAATGTCCAGTTTGAAGAGCATATCTGCGGTCTGTGTCTTGGTCTGGGGACACCTGAGAATCCGACATTCGTGTTCTGACAACGGCACTTAAAACTGTATCTGAAAATGCAAACTTATTCGAAGATGTCAACTTGCAGCATCGAGCACATGATCACATTCTCGATCGGAATGAAAATGCGAGGTTTGGGGTTTGGTTGGGTTTTTTGTTTGTTGTTTTGTTTTGTTTTGGGGGGAGGGGGATAATGAGAAAGAAAGAGGGAAAGAAAATAAGATCATGAAATGCGAGAGAACTGAAGAAGCCTGGATGAGAAAATGTTTTTGCTTCGCCTCTGCCTCATAAAAATGCCACTTGTTTACAAAAAGAGGGAACGAAAATCTCTTCGCCTGCCTAGAACAGTGAGCAGTTCTGGACCCCAAACTCTCCGCAGAAGTAGAGAGGATTTGGGGATGAAATGGCAGTGCTAGAGCTTACTTCACCACGCTACCATCGTGTTCATGAACGTAGGGTTTTCTAGTTACTGTTTGTCGATTTTGGTTTATTTGTTTGCTTGTTTTTCCTTTGGAGATGGTAAAAAATCAGTGTAACAACGGGAGTGACATGAACAATAAAAAAACATATGCGTGTCCCTGAGCACGGTACCGTGTTATCCTGACGGATCTGTCTTCGCTCGCGTATTATATTACCCTGGCTCCTCGGGACAGTGTAATACACCCAAGCAATTTTTCCCCCTTCACAGCTCTAAAGGAGTGTGAATGGATGGATGAATAGAAAAACAAATAACCGAGGAGATTATGGCCTCAGGATTAATTATAAAGCACGTTTAACCTTTTTCTTTCGAGGGTTATTTTGCTTTGCCTGTGCCGCCCGGGTAGTCGCTCCCGGACCTAAGCAAGGTTCTGCGGCTCTCGAGCTGCGGGGAATCCGCGGGGTTTCGCTCGCCGTGAAACCCCTCCAGGGTGCGGAGAGAGACCGTCCCCGTCCGTGGGAGGAGGGACAGGAGGAAAGCACCGAGGTCAGGGGCGCTGGGGTGAAAAGTGGGGACCAGGAGGGATGATGGGGCGTGGGGAGGAAGCGACTCTAAACCAGGGGTGGACCCCTCACAGGTAAGCGGCTCCCGGAATCCTCTCGGAGGATCTCAGAGAGACAGAACAACTTGCGATCCTCAAAATTCATTCAGCGGGAGCAGATCCCTCCCCTCATCCTCTCCCCACTTTTTTTTTTCTTTCTCTCAGCCTTTCTCCCCGTCCTGCTCCCAGGGCAGGTCCCGGTGAGTCCTATCCCGCGGCTCGGCTCGGCGGGGAGGGGGCGCAGCGAGGCCGGCCGGGAGCGATGGGCTGTGGAGCCGTGCGGTGCGGAGCGGTGCAGGACGGAGCGGTGCAGAGCGGCGGGGCCGGGGGAGCGTCCCCTCCACCGCGGAGCTGCACGGGGAACACTCCTGCAACCCCAGGAAGACGCTCCGCCGCGGGGACCCGCGCGTAGCGGGCCCTGGGGAGATGCTCCGGGGGAGGCTGCGGGAGCAGGGTGGGGGGCGAGGTGAGAGGTTTGCGGGCTGCGAGCCCCGGGCTGCTGCGCCTCCGGGAGAAGCGGGTTGAAAAGTTGGTTCTTCCCAGCCAGAAGTTTTCTCTCCGCGTGCGCATGCCCGGAGTGCGGTGGGAGGTTGAGGGGGGAGCTGGAAGGGGGGGTTGAAATAAGGAGGAGGCAGGAGGGAAGGGATCGGTTCAGTCTGAGCGCGACTGCTCCCGGACGCGTTCGCACTCCAGCGCACGCAGCCGGCGCCGGGAGCAGGAGCAGGGAGAGCACCTCCAGCTCCGCCGGCCGGAGCACCTGGACACCTGGCCCCGCTCGGATCTGTCCGTACCCGTCGGAGGAGCAGTGGGGTGGGTGGGGAGAGCTGTGCCCCGCAGGGCAGGGCAGACACTGACCTAGCCCAACTTTTTTTTTTTTTTCCCCTATTTTTTTCCCCATTATTTTATTTTACCAGCTCCAATTTAACCCAGGATCTTTTAACTGCTGCCAGCGGTGGAGCACAGATCGGGAATAGGTAAATAAAAAGAACAACTCATTCTGTTTGGTTTTTTGTTTTGCCAGGACTCGGGGGTTGGGGATACCGATCCAAACACTTCCTTTACCTCCTTTATTTCTTGGCCCCCATCCGCTCCCACCATCTCCTGGATGGTGCAGAAGCGTGGAAATTGTGGTTCACGTGAGGAGGACCGCTCTCCTCGGGGCGGGTGGAGGGCTGGGGTAAGCATTCACATGGATCTCGGATATTTTGATGCTATTTAAAGATTTGTCCTCCCCTTTCCTAGTTGTTTCTCCCCCCTCGCGGAGGAGCTGTGTTTTTAACCCGAGCTAAAAATGACATACGAGCTGCAAAACAGAAGCCTGCACGTCCTTTACGGACTTGAACTTCCAGCTTTTCTCCTTTCTATTATCGGCTTTTCTTTCCTTTTCTTTCTCTTCCTTTTTTATTTATGATACGTTCCTTCTTTTTTCTTTTTTTTTTCCCTTTTCTCTTCTTACAACTCCATTTTCAGTGTTTCAGGATCCCAAAAGCTTTCTCTGTTTCCTCCTAAGGCCATAACAGAAATGAACCTGATGTTTATATTTGTCTGAATGGATCGAAACAAGTTCAGCGCAGGGAGAGACTAAGCTTCTCTCGAGGCCGAGACTATAAAGTGTCAGTGCAAAGCCGAGGATTAGGGTACGGTTGTTATAGTTGGCTTTTGGGAGGGAACCTATAAAAGTCTAGCATTTTTGAGATTATCGTAGCGCCGCGGGAATTGTTCGATAAATCGCGAGCCGGGCGGGACTATGAGGGCCGAGTCTCAGACAGGTGCACAGTCGGTCCAGTTCAGTAAGTCCGAGGTCAGCTGAGAAACAGACTCCTGAGCCAGCGTCGGGCTCGGGGCCCCAGGGCTGCGGAAGCTCCGCGGCGGAGCCCGGCTGCGGGCGGCCGGGCCCGCGGATGCGCCGCCGTACGCTGCCTGTCCCCGGGGCTGTCACCGCAAAGGTTTGACTCCCACCCGCAGCCGTGCGTGATGTGACCGTGGGAAGAGAGGAGTACAGAGAGGAGAAATCCTCCCTGTCTCCGGGAGAGAGAGAGGAAGGACGATTTGCTCTTGCGCACAGGACGTTTCTCTGTGCCTCCACTGGACGTTTCTCTAGGGAGAAAGCGAGGGTGAATCCTGTGCTAGGGACCTTTCCACATCCGAGGGGGGTTACAAAGACACATATCCAATACCCCCAAAACTACCGAAAAACTTGTGCAGGGAGAAGGTGGAGGAGCTTGGCCCCCGCGGCCCGTGGCCTCGTAACCCGCTGTCCCTCCAGGGGCTGGACCCGGGGATTTTTGCTATTGTTTTGGATAAAGGCTGCCCCGGGCAGTGTAGCGATCGCTGGTGCAGTCAGATCCCGGTTATTAATTATAATTATTATTTGCGAGACTAAAATCCACCGCATTCACCCGCGCTCGCAATGGTGGTCTGGGGGGACTTGTCAACACCGATTTCGTGATAAAATGTGAATGACGATTTTATAAGGATTGAGCGGAGATATCCAAGGCACATGCTGACTGAATCCTTCCAGTCCTCATTAATGTTAGCAATTAACTCTTTCACGCTCAATTAGCCCCGAATAAACCTGCTTTAATAGATTTTGCACACTTCATTAATACTTTGAATAAATCGGTACTGAACAATGCACTTTATTCCTCAAGAGCACCACGCTCGAATAATGCTGAGCGAAAGGGCAGTTTTATTCCCTTTCCAATTAGTTTCCCAAACAGAGATAAATTGTAAGCTCTATTTCCTCGCTCTAACTTTAGGAAGGGAAAGTTTCCTTCCCTCAAAGGGGACAAAATAAATAGCCGACCTATTGGCAAAATGCTGCACCAGACTTCAAAAGATGCAGGCAAAACTGGGGGACTTTTTTGACAGATGAACCTGATTGCTGTAGTTTGAGGCTCTCGCAAGAATGCATCATTTTATGTCCGCTACTTTGTCATGTTTGTAAAAATAAGCAGAGTTTTCAGGGTAATTTACCTCCTCCATTCTTCCATGTGGAACTAATTAGAAAACCTCATTATTTATGAGTCAGGTATTTAATGTAACAAATATCCCTTTCAAAGGACACATCGGAAATTGATAATTCAATGTAAAAAGGAAAAATACCTACTACCCACAAGATTACTTAAAAATCCATTTAATTTCGCCCCTT